TGATCTCTGTGTCCACTCCAGTGAATTATCGAACCCAGTAGAGAGGTGGTGGGTGCTCTGGGAGGAACGGTTGGAGAAAGGGCTGGAGGGAGGCAGCATGTCTGGCCTCACAGGAATAGGCCTTGGGCTATTGATGGTGATTCTGTCTTTCTCTTGTGGGATTAGAGGAGGTCGGAACATGTGGCCTCCTTGCCATTTTTGCACTTACCAAAGTTTAGGATTCTAGGAAGAATAATTTTGTACTTAGTCATTTAAAAATAATTTTAGTCTTTGTCAGCTAATTGAGTTTATTTTTTCATTTTAAGAGCTTGTTTACATTCAACGTCACGCATACATTTAGTTTCATTCCCCATTCACCATGTCCAACCCTAACCCAGTCTCCTCCCCTCCCTACCTTGCAACCTTCCCCCTGTGCCCCTCATAAATTATGCACTCCTGTTTGTCCTGCATTTCCACAGTTTGAATGTTGGTCCTTTGGTGTCCCATGGTCTATTGCTCTAAGGGATGTATTACCATTGAGTGTGTGGGTGCATCATCCTGAGTTGAGTGGTCTGCGTGTATATCTTTTTAACTATTGGGCTGAGAGCCTGCCCTGGAGGTGAGCTTTATTCCAGGCGCCGAATATATTTCAGGGCCGTAGTATTAGGAGTCTCACCAGATTTCATCTGACCAGTAATTCTGGTCATTATTGAGTTTTTGGATTTTATTCCACGTTTACCCTCCCACTCTATCCAGAATCTCCAGATTTGATCCTTTCCTGAGTAGTTGGCATTGGTAGCCGGGCACCATCTGGTTCTTCTGGTCTCGAGGGCCATCGTGTCCTAGGGTTGATTGCTTCTAAATGCCTTTGTGTGTGTGTGTGTGTGTGTGTGTGTGTTCTTCTTCACTTTCAACACTAGGAGACCATTAGCTGCATCTTAGATGGCTGCTTGAAAGCTTTTAAGACCCCAGTTGCTACTCACCAATGTAGGATGTGGAGCAATGCTTTTATGTATTTTGTTGTGCCAATTAAGTCTGGTGTACTATGGTCCTGAGGTAGAAGCTCTATTGGATCTCTCTCCCATAGTGTCGAGATGTCTGTGAGGGATTACTCTGTGTCTGTCTTCTATTGTTTCTGTAAGGACTGCAGGTATTTTGTATCACTGGTGTCTGTACAAGATTAGCCTCAGCTGAGTCTATCCTTGGTCTAGAATAGACCTCTGTTTACTGACCCCTGTCTGATCATCTCAGGTGTTTATGTGTTTATCTGTATAGCCTAGTGTTTGGTGTTAATGGCAATGTGGTATTGTGGACACATTAGTTGGTTTTAGCATCTGTCATCTATCTCATGTCCTCTCATTTCCCAATGTTATCATGTTGGTCATATATCCTTCCCTTATATCCCTCCCCTTCCCATGTCAGCGTGTAAGCCCCAACTAGCTCTAAATTAATCCCTCCGTTTCCCTCCCCATCCCAGTAACCTACTAGGTGAGTACCCTTTTCCAAGCAAACCCTTCTCTGTCTTTTTACAGTAATGGGCTCATACAGTACTTGTCCTTCTGCGATTGACTTATTTCACTCAGCATAACGTCCTCCAGGTTCATCCACATTGCAAGATGATTCGCGTATCCCTCATTGTTCTTTAATGTGGCATAGTATTCCATTGTGTGGATATACCATAATTTGGTTATCCA